AAATATATGTATATATATGGCATTAAGGTAAATTTGAGAGATACACGAAATATGCACAGTGAACACTCACAAGAAAAGTTGGAGGTGTACTACAACAGAGTCTAGGTACACCTGATCTAAGGGCTAACATATCATATTCGGTACAAGTGAGACGGTTGAACTACACAAACCTCAAGTTCAAGAAGCAACACTGAATTCGACAGGGCTAAAAGCTAACAATCCATGCCATTGATCAATGCGCATAGATTAATTTTTTGAAAGTAAAAATAAATTTGCATTTTAAGCATTAGCATAGAAGCATCATTGCATAACATGCATATGGCACAAGTGTGCACAAAAGGGTATAAGTTCACTAAAAAATAAATTTGAAAAATCCAATCCATTTCTGCTTTGCATTCTTGCATTCTTTGTGTGTGTCTATCCATCGCTTGTCGAAGGAATTAGGAGGCCGAAGCACTCGTAAATAAAGATCAACAGATAGACAGTGCCTTAAGAGCCAAGATCATGTTAAAAAGCATAACACCAACAAGGGCATTCCATACAAGTGGTTTCATATAGCCACCAAGAAAAGAATGACACGTCAACAACAAGACGGGATAGAATCGGACGAGGAAGAATAATAAAGTCCATAAGCATGAAGAAACCACCAATCCTTATTCTGTCTTCGACCGAGCTATACTCCTCAACTGAATGATGGAAGATCCATGAAAATGCCAAGATCAAGAATGTTTTCCTACCAAAGCCAGGAGTGGCTTCCAAATAATACTCATTAATAAAGATTGAGCAAATAACATCATCATGGGATGGGATCCCTCCACCAATTATGACAATAAAGAGCAAAAGCAACAACATGGGAAAAAGGAAAGCTTTGTAAATGTTGAAAAAGCCGAAGCATTTAGAAAAATAGAAGAAAAAGGCAAGCTTCAAAGAGCCGAAGCTAAACAAAAATGAAATTTAGAAAAGACACTACCACAAGCAGCCCGCCTGGAGAGGCATCAGAATACTCACCTTGACAAGAATAACACCAAATTCTTGCCAACCATCCGACAACGAAGATGTTTGGAGAGGCATCACAATACTCACATGGTAGGGGCAACACTAGAATCCCTGTCACCCATCTACTCCTCTGCCCACCAGCACAAGGGCACCACTTACCAGCAATCCTCGTCTTCATCAAACATCCTCGCCAAAGAAAAGGGGGCAATCAAATCACAATATCAGCAGCTAGCCTGGAGAGGCCGAAACAATAATACTCACCATCAGTAGCCAGCTTGGAGAGGACGGCATAATAATACTCACCATCAGCAGCTAGCCTGAAGAGGCCAGGCATAATAATACTCACCATCAGCAGCCAACCTGGAAAGGCCAGGCATAATAATACTCAGCATTCAACAGCCAACATAGAGAGGCCGGCATAATAATACTCACCATCAGCAGCCAGCTTGGAGAGGCCGGCATAATAATACTCACCATTAGCAACCAGCCTGGAGAGGCCAACACAATAATACTCACCATCAGCAGCTAGCCTGGAGAGGTTGGCATAATAATACTCACCATCAGTAACTAGCCTGGAGAGGCCGGCATAATAATACTCACCATCAAGAGCCAGCCTAGGAAGGCCAGACATAATAATTCTTAGCATTCAGCAGCCAACTTGGAGAGGCCGGCATGATAATACTCACCATTTGCAGCCAGCCTGGAGAGGCCAACATAATAATACTCACCATCAGCAACCAGCCTGGAAAGGCCGGCATAATAATACTCACCATTAGTAGCTAGCTTGGAGAGGCCAGGCATAATAATTATCAGCATTCAGCAGCCAGCCTGGAGAGGCCAGACATAATAATACTCACCATCAGCAGGCGACCTAGAGAGGCCGGCATAATAATACTCACAACATCAACAGGTAGCCTGGAGAGGTCAGCATAATAATACTCACAACATCAGTAGGCGGCCTGGAGAGGCCGACATAATAATACTCACAACATCAGCAGGTGGCCTGGAGAGGCCGACACAATAATACTTACAACATCAGCAGGCAGCTTGGAGAGACCGACACAACAATACTCACAACATCAGTAGGCAGCTTGGAGAGGCCAACACAATAATACTCAACATCAGCAGGCCGAAGATCCAGATCTCCACCTCACTATCACAAGAGAAGCAATTAGAGCAAATAACATGGAGCATTTGCTCAAAGACTGAAGATTAGGTGTATAATTTTTCAGCCTTGTTACCCAATAGAGTACACAACCAACACTCAACTACTCTAAAGGGCGAGGATACGAGCAAATACACTTATCTAAGGGAAACAACGCAGAAGCACCAACACCAAAGAGACGAAGAGAAGACCTAGATGAAATGTCTATGTCTTTACTTGCCTTCGAAAAAACAACACATAGCTATTCCAAAGGACAAGTAAAGAGGGGCAGCTGTAGACAACCAATTTCGTTCGGGGGGCATACAAACAATGAAATGGATGTTTATTATCACGGAAAAGAGCTCCCGAAGCATGGAAACCACAGGACATGACATTAGAAGGCGTAAAGCCCAAATAAGTTGGTTTTAGTAGCCCAGAATGGGCTGTTCAAAAACCGGAACGGGCCGTTCCCAAACTTGAACGGGTTGTTCCAAATTACTAAAAAAAAGCCTAAAATCCTAGATTGGAACAGGCCTTTCTAGCATAGGCAGTTACGTGTAAAACTCAACTTTGGAATGAGCCGTTCTAGTTTCAGAAGGGGCCGTTCCAAGATGAGAAATTAACACATAATGTACAGATCCAAAACGGCCCGTTCCAAATCTGTAACAGGCCGTTCTGCCAACTTTTTGATGTCTATAAGTAGCAGACTCGGGCATAGTTCTCAAGGCCACAAAATTTCGTCTAAAACTCCTTAGAGCTCGAAATTTCTCTCTCTCTCTCTCTCTTATTATATTTCTTGAGTTTTGTGAGGCTTATAGTAGTGTGAAAGGTTGCCACAAAGCACCTAAAAATCACCATATTTGAAGATTTAATAGAAGCTCATTCAAGAGGTATTTCAGTCAATCTTCTTCTCTCTCTTTTATTTCTTATCTTTGATAAACATTGTTATAATAAAAGCAATCATGTAGACATTTTAGAGTCAATTGTGTAATTTAAATTTATAGCATGTAAATAAATATTAATAAAGGGGATCTAATATTTAATTTATTAATTCTTATCACATTAACTTCATCATAGGGTACCGATTGAGAGCGCTGTAGGGGTGCTTAATACCTTTCCTACACGTAACCGACCCCGAACCCAATTCTGGCTATTAAGACCATTATTGAAATTTTAAAAACCTTTTCTTTTTTCAATGTTTTGAGTAAAACATTGGTGACGACTACATGAACTCATTTTTCAAAATCATTAATTAAGGATTAGCCTGGTGTCCGGATATTCCTTAATTGATGAAATTTTTAAAAGGATGTCTAAATCATAGGTTGCAAGATAAAAAATTTTCGGGTTGCGAGAGGAACTCGCTGTATGAGGGGCTAAGCTACATTTGAGACCACGTTTTACAATGCCGAAACTACACACTTATCATTCCCTTGACTATAAATTTGAGAGGGTCTGCAACGATATCTGTGAATTTCTTGCTTCAGTCCCTCCAATATGTAAATCTACAGTGAAAACATTTAAAGTGGTGTTGTTTAAAGCAAATTTTAGTGCGATGAGGTGATAGGATAGAGGAACGAGAAGTTATCAAATTGAACTTGTACATGTAGTAACAATGTTAAAATATGTTAATGTGACATGTAATATTTTAATTGATATGAGTTATTCTCTTTGGAAGGCTAGGAATGTTGATAGAGTTTTGGGGATAGGTGATTTCCATCCGCAAGTATAATGTTCATGAATGTATTTTTTCATTAATCATATAACAATGCTTAAAAATAAAATAAAATTTACGGAATAATTAGTTTTTTAACTATTAGAATTAAAAATTTAGATGGTCCAAATCTAATTATAAATAGCATAAATCCAAATTCATGGCCTTTCCAACCTTGGCAAGTATTTTTACTCTAGTATTTAATATTATAAATATTTATTTAGTATCTAACTTCATGATGAATATGTTTGGAAAAAGAGAAGTAGAGGAAAAAAATCAAATTTTTGGCCATGCAACATGTAGTAGACTTGCAATGAGGAAAAGTGTGTCAAAGATATGGAGTCAAATTCCTAATCGTGCAACATGTTGTAAACTTACATTAAAAGTGTGACTTACAATATAGTTGCAAACTTGCCTTATGTTACATACATGCATTGATTTTAAAAATAAAAAACAAATGAAATAATTTTATAATAATATTTATAAATAAATGAAATAGTAATAAAAAGTATTTTTTATTGATTATTTTAAATAAAGTTATTTATTAAAAATTAACTTTCATTTTATTTTCCTTCTATTATCTTTTACAAAATTTTTATTTCTTCTCTATTTACCTACTTCGTCATATTTTCTTATATTTTTTTCTTCTTCTATTTTCTCTATTTATTTCCTTTTTTTAAAAAGAGTGAAAATCAAAATGATAAAATATTTCCATTCATCTATATTTGGTTGAGTGGATGAAAAATGAGATTAAAGATAAATATTTGAATTTCAATTTGAAGGAAAAGTGGAAGAAGAATAAAATTTAAATTTTTGTTTCTAAAATTCAACTTTTCTTCCCATTTTTCTTTCACTTTCTCTAATAATATTTCTTTTCAATTTTTCTCTTTTTATTTTCTATCCTCCCATTTTTATCTCTTCCAAATTCCAATCATAGAGTTAATGTTTAATAGTCGTTTTTTAGTTTTCATTTTAATATATATTTTTTTCTTATATATATATTCATTTCATTCCAAAATTGAAATGTAAATGCTAATAATAATAATAATAATTTATTTATTTATTAATATTGAAAAATAAAATATAATAATTACAATTTTTTTTAGTAGAGCCATTCTCTACTAGTTAAGCATAAAGTGACCAACACTCAGCATTTTAATGCAAAAGTGGAGATTTACTCTTTCGAAATAAGAAAGACTGTTGTGACAGTTCCATAAACAATTTGTTTGGCGGCAAGCAAGGTTTCTCCGGCACTGATCAGGAGAAATGGGTCGGTGTCGAGCTGCGTCGCGCCCTGCCGACGATGATCCCAACCACAGGTTTGTTTCTGATTACTGAAAGCGCTTTTCTTTCAATTCTTGCGTTTTGACTTCGCATATGTGAAATTAAGCTCGGGGACTTTGCGTTAGGGAAATTTCAATTAATTAAGCGCTTCATATGTTACGGAACGTGCTTTTCTGTTCTCGTTAATGCTATTATTGTTCCCCCCATTATCATTGGAATCAATGGCATGGTTCGTTTCGTGGAGTACTACTACTTGGTGGTTTGATATGGTCACATGAAGCCTTTTGTTTTAATGGAGTATTATTTATTGCTTTGAGATTCTTACGGTTTGTTTAGAGGTGGATTTGGAGTTGGAAGTAGAAGGGTAGGTTTTCATCTCTGAATTGGGAGAATTATAATATAATATGTTTATAAAAGTGAATAAGGAACGATTGGGAGGTTATGAGATAATCTCTATGAGCTGCTGTGATTCTCCCAAAATTTAGGGGTTGATTTCCGACACTTCTCTTTAAGCTGGCAAATAAATATGAGTAATTCCTACCTTATCAACATTAAACTCAAAACTCAGATTTCAACGAGGCATTTGTGAGCACATTTGCTTCCTGTGATTTTGTTGGAATGTAGTAAGAGTAAAGTCCCATTTTCAATTATTGATTAATGAAGTTTGATGAATCTGTAAATCCTTTCATGTGTCGAAGAATATGCATGGAATATCGTGTTTCTGGGACCTAGGATCAAGTTTGCCCTGTGTGGTACTAGAGTTTGGGTGAAGGAAGTAGAACCAGCTTCCAATAAGATTTTACTGACAGTTGTAACAATGTTATGTCTTTCCCATACTGTGGGTATTTCAAGAATTCAAGAAATCAGCATATTTCCTCGTCATATGGTCTGTAGATCTGGGAGCAGTGTTTATTGTAGACCTTGAAGGTCCAGGCACTTCAGATTTAAGATGAGTGGTATAGAATATAGGTGGGAAAGAGAAAGAAATAGAAAGACAATGAATGAAGGAAAGGGGAAAAAGAAACGAAGAAGAGAATACAACATGGTTGCCAATAGCGGCTGGATCGTTCGCTATTGAGATGGAGTGTCATGGAGCTGCCACAGTGATGCCATCACGTGGTGTTTCAATGTGGTAGCTGGGGTGGGCCCGAATCAGCAGAGCGGAGTGATCGTTGGAACCCTAAAATCACCCCCAAAGGTTCAAGAAAAACTTCCTTTGGCTGCGCCACCCTATCTCTTCTCCCATTCTTGGTCCCTTTGCCATTGCAGCAGCTGGATGTTAAAGCTGCACTGCCACTACTTATGATGCACAAATACGATACGAAGATACGATTATTTTAAAATATATAGGATATGATATGTCATACATGTCAGATACATGTCTTGATATGTATAAATATTCATAAATGTAATCAATGTGTAATTGTAATTTTGATTAAAATTCATAAACATAATAAATATATACTTGTAATTTTGCAAATCCAAAATAAAAACATACTTCTTGTACATTACTAAAAGCAAAAAAATTATTGATCATTTCATCATAAATTACTTCCTATTATTTACAAATAAAAATAATACACTCAATCTCATTTCTTTCTTAAAATCATCCATAAAGAGGAAAATTTTCATTTTTAGTTCATAAAGAGACAATGTTTCTATATTAAACATGTTTATATATCCTTTTTTTTACTCAAACATATTTATATATCTTATTTAGCTGTTTAATTTTCCAAAGGTTTGGATACTTCTCCGATACACATCACTAATAAGTATCGATGAAGTATCCCAAAGTATCAAGATCGAATAAAATCTTTATAATATTTTTAAAGTTTTGGATATTTCACCGATATGTATCAGTGAAGTATCTAAGAGTATTAGTATCAAATACGTATTGGATACGGATATGTGAACAAAAATGAAATATTTGTGCTTCATAGGCCACTACCAACTTGCATTGCTAACCAAAGCCTCTTTAGTGAAAGGGAGTGTGAAGATTGAAGAGTTTGAATTTTTCTAGTGTTTATGAGAAGAGACAAAGAAGATGAAGAGCAGGAGACCGAGACTAGTACATGCGTTGAACTCATCTCAAATTTCATGCCGCTTTTGCGCGACAATCAAAATGCAAAGCATGGATCAATATTCTCCCAAAACGGCACCTATTATGAGGCCATATGTGTATCCATTTCCAATTTAAAATAATGATTTTTTAAAACCATGTTTATCAAATAAAAAAGGTCAGGAAAACAAAATTATTAAAAATTATTATACATTAAGTCTGTCTAAACTCTAAATACAATAGCCATGCTTTATTTAGAGGCAGTTACTCAAAAACCATAAAATCCTAACAAACAGTAGCTTTAAAACTAACTAACTAACATTCATTTCTCATATATATTTATATATCAATGAGTGATTAAATTCTTTAACATATCCAAATGTTCATCAGAATAAGAAATGAACAGTGGTTATTATTTTCTGCAAAATGATGTTGAGGAAATGTGGATTTTTAGTATTTTTTCTGTGCATCAGCTGTGAGGCCTACATGGGCACAGGACACAGGGTCAACATTTTGGATGCAATGGAATCTAAAAATGCTTTTGTCAATAAAGTGGTTGTTTTCAAGTTTGAGGATGGAAATAAGGGGGAAAAAACTTAAAATTTTTACACACTTTTAGTTATTTTGCTCTTGTGAAAGAAAAATTTATACTTTCCTTTGTCCTAGAATGATTTTGTTTTGCTGTAGATTTTTGTTTCTGGGCACACCCTTGGATACGTTGAAATTCTTCTTGAATGCTTCCTGCCAGCTGCCACATATTTTTGTTTAGTTACCCTTATGTTGTAATGATGTTTCTTCCATTGCTTTCTGTTTTTAGGTCAAAGAGAAAAAAAGCTGCTCTGACTGTAGAAAATTCAGAAACTTTACCTACAGGTGATTTTTGATCAACACTTACCTGCCCTTCCTTCCAAAAGGTCCATTAACGTTTTCTGTAACACTATTTTCTAAACGTGGTAGGCCAAGGGATAACTAATAGCAAGGTATCTCTTTATCACTGTAATTATTGTAACAAGGATATTTCGGGGAAGATTCGCATCAAGTGTGTTTTGTGTCAAGATTTTGATCTCTGCATAGAGTGCTTCTCTGTTGGTGCTGAGGTGACACCTCACAAAAGCAATCATCCATATCGGACTATGGTAAATCTTCTAAGCATTGTTCCTTTTTATATTTATTGTAATACTTTCACTGATTCGCATCTTCAATTTTTTCTCTAAGATATACTGAGAATGATTGACAATAGCTTCTTCCTTCTTATGCTTCTCTTCTTTCCTTCTAAGAAAATTTTCTTTCCTCAAAAGAATGAAGAACAGGCAAGAACTAAATGCTTGAGACTGTACTTGGAAAGTTGGTTGGTATTTATTCTTTAATGGCAATACTTTGTTACTTGACAAACCAGATTGTTGATAACTTGTTAGTTAGTGCTTCTTTAATTCTATGTAATTTTGTGCATTATTTCATAATGATAACAACTTTTTTCCTTTGAAATATTTTTCTAAATGGGTTGGAATGAGTAAACCCTCATTTTAGTTCCTAAATTGGTGAAGCACTGTCATATTAATTCCTGAATTTACAAAAATGTCAAATAAATCCCTGAAATTGAAGTCTGTTAGTCACTTGGTCCTCGCCATTAACTTCACTATGGACTATAATGATAATAATTTTAATTTCAGGGATTTATTTGACATTTTTCTAAATTTAGGGGTTACTATGACTGCCTTACAAATTCAGAGACTTTAATGGGGGTTTACTTGGGTTGGAATTGGCTGTTGCTGACTTTTTGTCTGTGCTCTAACCAGCTATTTTAATATATCACTTCTCGGATGATGGATATTTTTTTTAACTTTGTTCTGAGCATGCGCATGATCTTTCTTTCCACTTTCTTCATTTTATGGTCCTCACAAGAAGGTAAAAACTGAATGAAAGTTCTTAACTTTCTTGATATGCATGCTATCATCATACATGTAGCATTTTCAGATGAAAATAATAACATTCCATTGTGAATAAAGTTTCCAGTGTACGTGTATCCATGTTTATTGTTAGTATATTAGTGTATTAATTTAAGTTTTTAAAGCATTTTTTTTTCTGGCACAGGATAATCTATCTTTTCCACTTATGTGTCCAGATTGGAATACAGATGAAGAGATGTTACTTTTAGAGGTATGAGATTTGAGTATGGGGAACGCTTGTGTTTTCTTTTTTCTTTTGCATTATATGTTAAATTATATATACTTTTCTGTCATATTACTTCTCATTAAAATTTGTGTTTCTAAATGTTTTATTGTTATAGGGCATTGAAATGTATGGATTTGGGAATTGGAATGAAGTTACTGAGTATGTCGGAACAAAAAGCAAATTTCAATGTATTGATCACTACAATGCTGTATATATGAACTCACCATGTTTTCCTCTCCCTGTAAGACTATTTGGGAACTATGTTATTAATAGTATACATGCAACCATCATTTGAATTCACAGTGTAATTGTTCATATGCACACCTAGGATTTGTCTCATGTTATGGGAAAGAGCAGAGAGGAACTCTTTGCAATGGTGAAGGGACGTGAAGTCATGAAAGGTTTGTTTCTCAATGAGCTAAATCACAACTTTTTAAGATTTTGCATGCAAGACTTGATTAGTTTGTTTCTGTTACAGATATTGTGAATATATTACAGATATTGTAGATACATATATTATGGGCTATTATCCTCACTATCAATTAGGGATATGATTAGATTAGTTTCCATAATATTAGAGATTAGTATCTCTATCATTTATTGTATTTACTCTATAAATAAGATTGGTATGTGTACAACAATACACACAATTCCTGAATCACAACATGGTATCAAGAGCTTAGGTTCTTTTCTTTTAGAATATATTTTTTCTCTCTTCTTGCAAAGGCCCTCGCTGCCACCTCTAGCCACTGCCGGCGGCTGGGCGGGCGGGGTGG